TTTATTTATGATCAATTACATTAATTCAAACGTAGGATATTGAGAACTTGGTCATGCTTAAAATATAACCCGTATAAAAAATAAGCCGAAATTAAACTAATAAATATACACTTAAGCTTTACGCAATATGCAAGTAATGACAATAAAAACCAACAAAAATTTAATGGAATTTTACTTAAATGCCAGCCAGAAATTCTAAGATTGTGCCAGCAAAGTTCATTGTAGTTGTGGTTGTAGTTTATTGCAATTTCTTATTAATAAGCGCGTTTTATGTGTTAGTAGTTGGGAGTCGTGTGTTTGGAGTCGGGTGTTTGTTGCCGGGAGTCGGGAGTTGGGAGCTGGGAGTTGGGAGTCGGGAGCTGGCAGCGGGCGTCAGAGCCATCCCATGGGCGACATTAACGTTAATAATAATAAAATGTGTAATTGCATAGAACGAGACTGCGCAGCATGCCCAAGTCCCGAGACGGCTTTAGTCTGTCCTGTCCTGTCCTGTCCTCTGACCAGGCCGGTCGCAGCCAAACGCAGCCTGTCGCTGTCTCTCTGCCTCGCTGCCTCTCTGTCTGTCCCTCTGTCTCGCTATCTCTGTCTCTGTCTCTGTCTCTGGCTCTGGCTCTGTCTCTGGCTCTTACTGCCCCTGTGTCAGCTTCAGCTTGTTGCAGCATTGCAAAAGGTGTAAATCATTTTCTAATCGCAGCAAACAGATCACATGCACACACGCACACACGCATACAAACACACACACACACACACACACACACATATATATATATATAGCCGACGTGCATTTAGTTTTGTTTTTAGCATTCACATTCACATTCGGCTTTTGGCATTGCATTTTGCTTTTTGCAGTTTATATGCTGTTGCAGCGGTCAAAAAACAATGTGCGTTGCCGTCGAGTCGTCTTGGAGTCGGTGGAGTCGATGGAGCCACAGCCAAAAGTCAATGCAATCAATGCATGAAGAGCAATAGAGAAGAGCATTGGTCACGTCCAACTCCTCCACCCCACTCCGTTCTCTGTCCGTCCTCCCCAGAACGGACTCGGCCATAGCTTCTTGGCCATAGTTTCCGTCCCATTCCCGCAGCGGATGCGAAGCACTTGCCATGTTGTCAGTTCCAAATGGATTTTGTTGGCATTCGCTTGAACGCTGTTTGTGGTACCAGGCCGCAGCACGAGGGTCGTTCTTATGCATCTTGATATTCTCAAATTACAAAAGCGAATGGTTTCCCTATCCCGAAAGGGAAAAGAGTATATTAGTTTGGTCCTCCGTCTATCACAATTTGGATGCATATATATGCAGCTCTGGGATCCGAGCATATTTCGTTGTCAGCCAAATCAGAGTACAACACTCTCACTAAATTCATCTGATTTCTTTCGATCTTTTTCTCTGGCTTAACTAACGACTTTTAACAGAGGTTCTCGGTACGCCTACAGATGTGGATGTATATAAAAGGAGCTTATCGTTTTGTGACCTCGTCTAATAATTTAAATATGTTTTTCTCTGGCTCCAGGTCGAGGGGCTCTTTATTTCTAATATATTCCGTGACATATTTCGGAACCCATGCGGATTTGTCTTCAGGGAATGACAATTAAGCTTATTCTGTGAATCTTTTTCTTTACCATTTTCTTTATTTGGCTAAAATTCGTTTAAAATGATTCCAGGATTTTTATGAATTCTTACTTATATTTTCGATATCTGAATGAGATGTTATACCTTATGTCTGCCTTGATCGAGTTATATTCTCCGATTTGTCACATATATTTCGAGATACTCTCGCATAATTTATTAATCTTTTGGTGCAATTGCTGTTGTTTTTATTGTTGCTGTTGACTTTGAACTGGCCTTAAATGCGGCCAGTCACATGTTCTTCCTCCACTATCTATCTGAACGGTTTATGGTTGTATATATATATATATATATATATACACATATATGTGTGTGTGCTTATGAGTGTTTGAACAAAATTTAATTCAATAAAATCATTGAATATTATGTGCGCTTTTTGAGGTGCGGTTGTAGTTTTGGCCAGCTAACTGGCATTTGTGTTATCGTAAAATCTTATAAATAAATACGAGAGCTATTTCATTGCCCCAAATGGCTGACTCAATAGTTGTCCATTATTGACTGCAATTGGAATACAACGATACCAAAATCCGGTCCAGTTGTCACTTAGTCGAAACAAAACAAAAAAAAAAGAAAAGAAAAGAAAACAGAAGCAATTTTTTTTGGGATAATTTACAAAGTTTTGAAAAAAGATTGAGATTTCGTTTTGTGCTGCGTCTTAATTTGCGCATTATCCTTACAATCTTAATTAAGCTGTCCATCAGGCAGTGCATATCCTTCCAGCCCCTGCCTATCAGCCACATCCGCAGCCTTACGACTTGCTCATTTGTTTGCCGCCATTTTCTTGCGTACATTTCTCTGTCTTTCTTATAGTCGTTGTTGCTGTTGTTGTTGTTGATGGTCTTGTCGCAATTTTTGCATAGTCACTGCACACTGTGTTCTACATCCGTTCCGTTTCCGCATCCGTTTACACTCACGCCAACGCCAAAGCCGACGCCGCCAACGCCAAAGCCACTGCCACCGCTACCACAGTTGCTGTCTTGCATTGCGTATACGCCCTTTCGGCCAGTGCAAACAAAAAAAACCAACAAAATGCAACTAAATGGAGTGACGCGAGAAAATTCCTTGAGCAAAGTAACTCCTGCTGCCGCTGGCATATTACGAGCATTGTTGCTTTTCCCATTGTCCTTGCCGCAAGTAACAAGTTCATTTGCTGCACCCGCACCCAGTTAGTGCAGCAGTGCCGTACTAAAACGCTAAATATTTCTGCCATATGCAAAGATCAGGGCGACTTCAACTACACTAAACTGGGTATTTTTTTAAATAAGCAACTATAATCTCTTTATCTATGGAACATAAGTACGATTTAACATTTACTTTCAATGGATAAATCGCTTAGCTTAAGCAGAGCTATTATAATTATCGTAAATGAAACTGAAAGTTAATTAGGGTCAAGCTCGCATTTGTTATGTCAAAACTAAACTGTGCTACAGAATAATTTGCATCGAAAATAAATGCATATGTATATATATATATATATTATGTAAGCCTATAAGGAAACTGGCTAAACTAGCATCACTGGTGCAGCCACAGACACGGCAAACCAAAGCCAGTACAAAAACAGAACACTCAACACCCAAACGTAAATATTTCAATTAAATTTACAAAATTTATTTATGCATGCGTGTACTAATTTATGTCTGTAGGTGTGCGTGTGTGTGGCGTGTGTGTGTGTGTGTGTGTGTGTGTGCATGTGGCAAGGTAAGGGGGTGGCATGTACTCATTGTCAACATGCCCATTAACATCATTTAATTGTTGTGGGTCGCCAGCAATGGCAATGCTGCTGGCATCGCCGTTTGCATTTTATTTGCTGTCAGTGCCTTTAAAGCTGAAACCCTTTTGCTCTGGCAGATGTTGTATCGTCAATTATTTGAACTAAAAGCTCTGATTTGCCATTGAATTGTGTTTTAGTTGAGCTGGAAAGCTCTCTGATGCTCCGAATATTAAATATATATGTATGTTTGCATGGCCATGCATATTAGATCTTGTTAGCTCCGCAAATGGGGTTGTTGCCACACCGTTTGTGGCTGTGCAGAGGCACGAGAAACTCAGAAATAAGCCGCCATTCATGCGCATATAAACAAACGAACTATGCGGCGACTTTGGCTTTCATTCATTTCCAGCCATTCGAATGCTACAGCCAAAGTGGCTGCTGGGGTGGTGGTAGTTGCTACACTCTGAGAAAAAATAAATCACTCTGACAACTAGAAAGTTTTTCTTCTCTCTTGAAATGGTTGCTATATATAAGAAAAAAAGAAAATTTATAAAAATTTAACATTTTTGCCACTAAACGACAATTCCAAAAATAAGATTTTTTTTTTAATATTTTATATTATTAAGAAATGTATTTCTAAAAAATAGAAATGGAATAAAAAAATAAGTAATTAAATTTAATGAAATCTAAAATTACCAAGATTTATTACTAATATATGCAACAAAAAATCGAATGTTTAAATGTTGCTATTACCCCAGAAATATAGACATATTTTTGTATAACTTTTAGACAACTGCAGCCAGAAATTAGGAATAGAAAAACGCTGATTTTTAGAAATATACTTTGTGAATAAGAAGGTGAGCTGCTTTGGGTGGCAAAAGTATATCGAATTGCTAAAATTCAGTGAGATTTTATTTTTCTGAGTGTAGCTGTGTAGTTGGTTGGTGTGGAATTGAATGCCAGGCTGGGGTACGTCGCCTACAGTGAGTACTACGCGACTTACAACTGCAATTACAACTACAACCGAATGCTGCCCCGCCAGCCGCTAGCCCCCTCCACCTGTTGGCGCTACACTGTCTTCGGGCACGGAAACCCGGCGCTGTGGAATGCAGTTCGGTTGGAAGGTAGGGTCGCTAAAGGGCAGGGGACCAACAATGAGCCGGCAACGATGTTAACTGAAAAATGCTTTTCGCTTTGCCTGTTGACGGGAAGTTGGCTTAGCGTTTGTGTTGGTGTTTGGGGGGTTGGCATTTTGGGGTTGGATCTGGGCCTGGGATTGGGAATGGGATTGGGGGCTTGGGCATGCTCGCAGTGGTAAGTTACTGTTGTTGCTGCTTCTGCTGCTGCTTCTGTGTAGGCATAGTGCAGTGAACTTGCCGTTAAGTAAGTATGCAATACGAAACTTGTTTAATTAGTAAAGCATACACAGAGAATTTCATTAGAAAAAAATTGTTGAATATTTCTTTATTGCTTGGTGCATATAAACATATAGAACCCATTTAAATATACACTCGTATTACATATATGTATATATATATATATATATATGCTTGTACATTAATATTCAGAAGCATTTTTGGGTAGTGCAAAATACGCTAATTTGAAATAATTTTTGTATTCAATATTTTTTGGTTTAGTTTTTTGGATATCATAATATCGTTTGCCGGTATACAGCTCGAAACATCTGTTTAATGTGGTTCCTGGAGTCGTCAGGCCTTTTTTTATTCCAATATTTGTTACGATTTCAGGGTAAATATTGTCCATGTGCATATTGCCATTTATCCCTATTACTTCCATAGCCATGTTCGGGCACAACTTTCGGAGTCCGATACATGCTCTTTGAATAGCTCAAATAATCCTAATTATAAAAAAACGAAAATTATTTTCTTAACAGTCAATCCAGTCAAACATCTAGCTTTTTACAGACCAACATATTTCAAAATATGTTTATATTTTATATATAAATTGACTTAATACATAATGTTAGTAGTGGATGTACCTTCTCGTTCCTTCGCTGACGCGCCAAGTGGTAAAGTTCCATGTTCCTATGCGTTTCCGCAGGCTGCACCTGAAGCACACTCGAATCAGTCCTCGAATCAGATGAATTACACGATGGATTTGCGTGGGACTTCAGTTTTAATTGAAGATCAATCGCCGGTGGCGGCTCGTGACGGATGCGTTGCTCAATTTCGTACAGCTCTTGCTAGATAAATACACATACAGAGAGAACCACATTGGACTTATCTTCTATATATGCATATACAAACAACAAGACGAGACCCGCGATTACAGGTTGATCTAGCCATTGGGCAAGGGAGCACTATCAGACTAAGTCGACCAAATGGTAGCAGAGATACCTCCAGTAGGCACTCTCTGTCGAGGAGAGCACTTGAGAAAGTCAGAGGGGCCGAGTGAGGCGGGCAGAGGCCTTGGAGTTGTGGACCCTCGGATATCCTAACCATAATCCGTTGATGCAATTGCGAAACAGACAATCAACTGGACAGTGGCACCAATTCTCGGACATTACAGTTAGGCTTTAGTCTAAGTAGTCACCCAACTATACTTGTCAGTAGGTCACCTTACTAAGCCCGTCAGTAGCGGACTTTGCCGATTTGGTTTCAATGAGAGGAAGCCCTTGCAGCATAGATAAATAGGGAGATCGATCATATCCGATATCTTAATGTGGACTTACCCGATTCTTGTAGACCATACAACAGGCGCGCAGGGTAAAGTAGTAAATAATCTCAACACCCGAGAGCAGCGAGAAGCCGAGAAACAAGCTGGCGATGCCGCCAAAGGACACAAGCAGATCCACCCAGCCGAAGAGTACCTCACGCTTGTAGCGAATGATGGGCCAAGTAAGGAACTCGACTAGAACGCCAGGCGAATCCGAACGATCCATACTTTTGTATGCAAAACAATATATAAGTATGATGAAGTGAGAATGACGAAGAAAAGGCTTACAATTTCATGAGCTTATCTATATTAAACACTGTCTTGGAGCAGCTAAGCTCACACTGTAGGCAATCCTTGATATTAGTTATGTTCAGCTTGTAGTCGTTTAGACAGGTAAAGTCCTTGACTGCGCACATGGGTACATTACCTAGTAAGAGAAAGAAATAAGGGTATAAAAACCAAATGTTATCCGATATTAAATAACGTTGCAGATACACAATGTATTTTATATTCCTATATACATATATATATATATATATATATCTTTGTCCTCATGAAGTTCAACTTACTGATGGGCTTGTAGAAGGGCGGATTACATTTGCATAGCTTGATGGCCTTTGTCATGCGGCATTGCTTCATGCAGGATGAAAAGGTGTAGGCATCTGGGAAGTAGCTTAACTTGACCTCGTCGCTGAAGATGCACTTGCGCTGGCCGATGGACAACTGGCGTGCATCATCTGTGGTGTAGGTGTTTTTCTTGGAGATGCGCACTTCCACAAGTTGATCCTCCGTCCAGTCAATTTGGGCATTGAAATCGGAGCCAAAGTACTCCTCGTTTGAGAATATAAATATCTGCAAGGACATCAAGGATCATCAATCATACAAATGCATATAGATAGCGAACATACCCGAGAAGTGCTATTGGGTAGAAAGAACAGAGCCCACTTCTTGTCCGTTTCATAGAGGTCATGGGGTGCCCCAGTTTTGGTGCTGAAATTGAAATTTTTCTCATTGTTACACTCAGAGAAAAACGCTTTAACGAAATTCAATTATAACAGGCATATAATTCCCAACATTTCTGATCTAAGATTTACGACCTTGACAGGACTTGTAAATGGAAGTTTGTCAGAAATGATTTTGATTTATTCCCCAATTTATCACTTGACTTACTCTTCGGTTGCGGTGGACATGAAGCGACTGTTGAAGGCGTAGCAAAAGCCATGTTCCGTGTAAATGGGCTGAAAGTGATCGCAGCAGACGATGTCCTCGTCCCGATACTTGCAAGAGATTAGCGCATTCTCGCAGGGGATTTGGGCCCGGAACGCCCAATCGCGAATTGTGTGCTCGTCCAGCAGGTCGGACGGTATTGCCTCTGCCAGCATTTGTGCATCCCGGATGTTCTCGAAACTGAGCGAGGTAAGCATATCAAGGAACGGTGCAAACATCTGCGCCTTCTCCGCATCGTAGTTGCTGGGAATATATTATATGTGCGATGGTTGCACATTACATTAAAAAGTTGTGATTGCGTAATTGGGGTATCAACTCACGCCAGGGATTTGTAGACCTCAGCGTAGGATTTTTCATGATCGAAGGCCGAGTCCGGACACACCACAGTGGTGGGAAAAACAACGTTCTGATTGTGAAAGTCCGTGTCCAGACCAGTGATGGTTGGATTGGTTTGAAATTTCTCCCACAGGCTCATGATAATGACCAGAGCCGTAACAGCGCCAATCGATGTGAAACAGAACCACATAAACTTCTCGCCAATGGGCCGACCCGTTTCCGCAATATAGCGAACGCCGTGGAGCGTTGAGTTCTGAAAGAACTCCTTTGTCTGGTAAATGAGACTTCGACGAAAGATGACCAGAGTCTCCAGCAAGCGTTGCCGCCTTGTCCTAATCACAGCCGTTTCCTTGGGTTTCTTTTGCGGCATTTTCGTTTCAGGAACATAGCTCGTGGCCAGGCCCAGCAACTTACCACGCAGCTTTTGCAACTAATCAATGGGGAACTCAGTGACAATTGAGTCCAATTGCTGGACTTTCTGTTGTGGCCATTATGTGACACTAAAAGCCTTTCATTGTAAATGCATTAAGTCACCGGACCTTGATTGACCCCAAAAATAGCGTTTGACAATACAGCACAGAATGTGTGTATTTCCCTCGCTTATCTTGATGTCTCATTAGCATTTAGTGCCATGCCTACACTGAGAAAAATAAAACATGCATCAATTATTTTTGTTTTTTTTAACATTTTCCTTTATTATTGCATCTGCTTTGGAATTTGTATGGGAAAGTTTCATGCAAATTTTGTTATATATGTTTTTTTGTTTTTGAAAATGTGTACGATATCATTTAGGAAAAAATCGTTTTTAAAAATTTGTCGGCTTTGCATTTGGCTTTGAAAATATTGTTCTTTCAGTGCAGTCGCTAGGTGTGGTGTGGTGTAGTCGCACATTAGCTGCAGGGTGGGTCAACTCCTGCTGTCCACTGATTGTTTTTGGCCCTCGCTCAAAATGGCGCCAGCTTCGCGATACTGCTGAATACTCGGAGATTTTATAAGTGGGCGTGCCGATCGGAGCAGCTGCCGGGCTAATTGGTCCGCGGTAGTCTGCATGGCATCCGGCGCCGTTGCAGTTAGCAAGAGCAAAAAATTGAAAAAAAAATATATATATAAATAAAAAATAAAAAATAAACGAAATGAATTCTTGCAAAATCTGAATAAACTAAACTAAACGCGCACAGAAACCGTCAAGAAATTCACAAGTTTTGTGTGAACTCCTGACACGGCAATTTGGACGGCGCTTTGTTTTGTTTTCGTCTGGCCAAGTGGCTCCAGCCGAGCTAAAGCTCCAGCCCGAAGCACAAATGAAGTGGTTTCAAGTTTCAGCATCGCAGACGGTGGACGAAACGACTGACAGACTGGGTTAGCGACAAACTGAACAAAAGGTCTGGCGATCACGAGTTGACGCTGTTGCTAAGATGCTGACCCTGATTGCGTCCGCCAGATAAGTGCAGCAGTAGACTGGTCACAAAAGGACCTCCGCATTTGCACATCCTCAGTCATCTAGAGTTTCAAAACTGGCGCCTCTGTGCAGCGCTCATTGGCAGTAACGGTCTCTCTTTCTCTCTCTCTCACCGTTAAGCGTTTAGATACCAATGTCCCGACCGCAGCAGCGCCATCAATTATGCACAATTATCTGTGGCAGGTGGTGCATGAGCGTTCTAGGATACTCTGACAAGGATACACATGGATGATGGCCGGCTACGATCGATCGCGACCCACCTTAACTGCATGCCTCGATATCATAATAATATATAATAATAGATAATTCTGCTTATTCATTCAGATATCGTGGTGAAAAATCAGTCAACTAATTCTATGCATAAATAATAAAAGATTTAAAAAACATGATCAAGATTACTTTTAATTATTTCATTTCATTAAAAATGAATTCAACGAGTCAACTAATTCTAAGTAAAAATATATTTTAAGCATCACAAAAATGTGTCCAAGTTCAGATTTTATTGGTTCAATGCATTAATTGAAAATCAATGATATTATTCATACTGATATATACATACTTCTATCTATGCACATAAGGGTATTAAAACATCGGCATACCAGGGATAGCTATTTGTTCATGCTGTTTTTTCTTTACTTATTTCAATGACTGAATTTTTTCTTATCAGCGATCATTTGTCAAACCGTTGCAAAAGCCTGGCCATGAAGTTTCACAACAAATAAAGAGAGATACAAAGAAAAAAAAAGGAAAAGAATTAAAAACAGAAGATGAGGGAACGGCAATTGCAACAATTTGTTGGACTGCAACTCCGCGCCGTCGGTTGACAAAAATCAACGCTTATAAATAAGAAATCCAAAGACCACGCAACTGAAATTGAATCCAGAACCCTTTTCCTTCAGACCAAGTCCGAAGTCGACACTCAGCCAAGTGAAACTCGTTGTATCCTCAAAACGAGGATACATATCCACACATACACACATACACACACACACATATATATATATATATATATATATACATTCACACAGACAGACATATAGACACACATACAGAAGAGCAAGAAGAACATGAATCCCAATTCTCCCTCTGCGAATGTTCCAAATGATCTCCGCAGAGTAAAAAGTCAGCTTGTGTGTGTATATATATATATATATATATATATGTGTGTGTGTGCGTGATTAATGGTAATTGCTTTTATGGCTTTTTGCTGTGCTCGCCACGCTTTCTGCCAGCAATTTGTTGTAATTTCGATTTCACTGCCTGTCCCCAACTTTGTTAGCTTAGCTAACATCAACTGTATCAAATAGCTAAACGTTTCTGATCCGACCTCCTTTTCCGAGCATCAAATTATTATTATAAGCACCGAAATTGAATATGTATAAGTAAATATAATGCTCTTAGGTACGCACTTAATTGATGCTTATTATTTGCAACTTATTTACTTCACGTCGCTTACTTAAATCGCACACAAAAACCAACACGAGGCTCGTCGGTCGGTCAAATTGGTCTCCTCGTTGGCATCCCACAATACTTGTGCGAGGCTGGCAGATCCATCTGGCCATCTTTGGATATAATAACCCTCATCGCCGCTCATATTGATGCGATGCGACAATACGATTGGGACCAGGTCGGCACCTACAATAGCCTTCAATCCAGCTCGCCAGTTCGGTAATCCTTGAGTTATGCATCAACAGCAGAATTGTTTAGATTCCTGGCATAAAGTCTTATTCTTTTATCTTTTAAGTCGACCATTTTTTCGATGTTTGATGCTGAATATATTTTCCAAAACACTAGAAGCAGTAAAATGTTTAAGATGGACTCGGCTAATGATGCTGATCAATAATATATATATACTTTACAGGGTTGAAGAGAGACGTCTCCTTCAATCTGTTACAAACTTCACGTCATCATTGTAATATACTCTGCAGGGTTATACGAGAGAGGAGCACAATTAAAGCCATAATGGGATTTATATGGATATTTAGGTAAGCAACAAAATATCCAGATATCAGCAAGAAGTAGAGCGACCAGGAGCTGAGCCCTGCAAATACTTACAATACTGCCTGCATGGTTACACAAAATCCAATTACTTCATTTAATTTAGGTTTGTTCTTAAGTTTTGATCAAATTCCAACATTGCGTATCACATTAAGAATTTATTTGAATTTTGAAAATTTAATATTGTTAGCACAAATTCATTGTTTCATTTCACATTATTTCACATATACATACTTCATTTCTAGCATTTGTAAAAAAGGCAAAAAGAATAAAAAAAATATATAATAATAATAGTAAAATAAAAAATAAGCTTCAAAAATACTCCTGGTTTTGTTTTTTGCTTTTTTTCTTGCATTTTGTTTTTCTCTACATATACATTTAGTATTTACATAATAATAGGCAGTTAAACATCATGCATCTGCTCTTAATTATTCACTCTCATCGGTGACTGACAGATTGAGCTGGACATTCACATATTCTGGCGAGAAGATTGAGGGACTGGGCTCATATCGCGTCTCGCGGTACTTAGAAAAAAGACCACGCGCCTTATTAAACGGCGTATGGAATACAGTCGACACGATGGTGCCTGTCTGATGATCGCTGGCCACTGGAACTGCTGCAGGCGGCATCGTGGTGTTCATTGGCGAAGGGCTTTCATGCACAGGTCCGTTCTGGCAACTGGTCGGTCGAGGCGACCACATTATTTTCGGAGGCGCCGATGGTGTTCCAAGCTGACGACGCTGTGCCAATTCGTTCAGCATCGGGGTGGGAAGCAGCTTTTTGTATGTGTGTGTCAGCGAACCGCTATCGGAAACCATGCTGCTGCAAGGAATATTGGTTTTTGCCAGATTGGGTGTCCTGCTGCCGATGCTGAAGAACGACGACTTATGCGATTTATGCACGCTTGTCGGCGAGGGGAAGCTGTATGCGAAATAAAATTAATTGTGCCATTAGTTTCAACATACAATTACAGTCGACGTCGCTTATTAGTTATAACGACGAAATTCTAAGGCCATTTTCAATAATGACTAGCTTATACAGTCAAAAGGATATAAATCAAAATCAACAGGCTATTTAAAACAGTTTTCCAGTATGTCGATCCCACAATTTACAACTCATCTTTTGACCGATTGTTCCTCCAAAGGCAGTGGTTCGATAACGATTTTGTTGTTGTCATTTTTACCAAACATGGGGAACTTAATAGCACGTTTTGTTTTGTGAGTTTGCTTAAGATATCTTTTTTCGACTGATATAGCCAGTTTCATCAGGGCTGAGAATGTTCTGCACACGGACTAGTGGCGCTGCTTACGAATATAAACTTACAGATCCATCTCCTCGGCGGAGAAGCTCTCCATGGCTGTACGCCAGGCATACACAAACGGCAGCGATTCCTTATCGATATCGACATTGAAAATAGCATTGAGGACATCCAAATCACGCTTGGTCGGCTCCTTGCTGCAATTTAGTATTTAGTAAAATGTGGCCACTTTTACCATGATTACAAATATGGCAGACTTACCCAAATATGAATAGTTCATATTGGGGTTCCGCGTCGCAACACGAGAGCCGTGGTGTGCGGCTTTCTGGTGGTGTCATGAAAATCGCCTCATCGTCGCTGCTGTCGTCCTCATTAAAGTTGTCGACGCAATCCAACTGTGATGCGATGAAGTCAATAAATGTTTGGATTGTATTGAATGTATTTGATTAGTGTCTACTCACAAAGTATGATGCATCATCGTTTCCGTCATCGTCGCTGTTGTTGTTGTTGTCATTGTCGCTTATGTTACAGACACGCATTGTGTCAATGAGCTCGTGAACCGGATCATTGGATGTACTGGAGGCAGCATGAATAGTTCCAGCAGCAGCAGCAGCAGTAGCAACAGCAGCAGCAGTAGCAGCAGTAGCAGCAGCAGCAGCAGTAGCAGCAGCAGCAGTAGCAGCAGCAGCAGTAGCAGCAGCAGCAGTAGCAGCAGCAGTTGACGTTGTGGCCGCCTTGCTCGAATCTTGGATTTGAGCGCGCAAAGATTCGGTACGCTTGCGTCTGCTCGTCTTACGACTAAGATTCGCATCCCAGGCACACTTGCAACACTGCTCCAATTCCCAGGCGGCTGAGCACAGCTCCTCGGTTTTAAGTGCGTCCGGCAGCCGAACAAATGGCACCTGCTCCAGCATTGGCAGCATGCTGCCGCATACGCATTGCAAATGCTCGCGTCTATCGCCGTATAGCTGCAACAGTTTACGCAGCATTTGCATTAGCTGATTTCGCACAGCGTTGCTCACCTCCTGCGAATGGGCAATGTAGCTGGCGACGAGATGAGCGATGCGTGAGTGAACCTTGCCAAAGTCGACAGTGATGAAGCGTGCATCATCCTTGAAGCTGACAATGAGAGATTTCAGTCTTTTGAGCTCGGAGAGCAGCGTATCATTGATGGATACCATGTTGCCAATGTTGTTAATCAGTGTCTTGGTGATGCGTTTCGCGAACACCTGCAGCGATTTCTCCACACATGTATAGGGCGTCATTACCTGGGTAATGGCGATGCCGGCAACACTCGCTGCTGGATTATTCGCAGTCTTGCCTCGGTCGGTAGCCAGATCGAGATAGTGATGCAGTTGGGAATAGTTCCACGTCTGATCCGATTTTTCAGCCAGCAGCGAAGCCTGCGTTTGCTCAGATTTTGCTGACAGATAAGCCTCGAGGCGTGCGATTCCATCGCTAGATGATATGTCCACGAGATCATCGAGAAAATCCCAATATTCGCGCCACTCCAAATTCTCCTGGTGCGCCAATTGTCGACCGATTATCTCAAGACCCTTTTCAATATCCGAATTCTTGATATGTCGCTCGCGGTAACAATCAATCACCAATGACTCATCCAAGTCGCTATCCACGAACGATAATGACGTGTTGCTACGATAATTTAAAAACAGATCCGGGTTAATATGCCGAAAAGGTGTCGACGGCAACTCCAGCGCACGATGTGACCGACTTGAGCTATCCTTGTATGTGCAATTGTTGTTGTGTTCTATGTGCTGCTGTGGCTGCTGCTGCTGCTGTGCCTCATCGCCATTTTGCTCGGGATTTTGTTGATTGCCATTCGGGCTGAAGAGCAAACGCCGACCAATGGCACTCTTGTTGAGCAGCGACTTGTTGGGCGTCCGTATGGGTGAGATGTAGGGCGAACTGGTCAATGGCGCCCCAGCATTGCCACCAATTCGCGGCGGGGTCTTCCAGCGTCGACAGAAACTAACTGCCTGCTCACGCGGCATGGGTCCAGCCAATGCACTGATCTTCAGTTCCATATTGAGTTTACCCGATTCGTCGCACTTTTGATTTAATATCTGTCGAATTCAATTAACAGTGTGTCGGTTAGTCAGTGCAAGTCTTCAAATTACGCAGCATCTGTCACTTACCGGCGGTTCAATAGTCATAAACGGTTGTCCAATCTGCGGCGGCACCTCATTACCCGTTGCCCGCAGAACGGGCACATAATATGGCTCCGAGAGCAGCAGCTCCAGTTTTTTGAACACCTCCGGACTGGCATGTTGTGCTCGCTGGCATATTATCTGTTGGCGGAAAACAGTAACAAATAGCGTTAGATACCCTTTCGAATAACAGCAACAAACTAACTAGATATAATCATCTGTATTCAGTATTTTTGCTTACGTATAAATCAGTATAATAACTCTTACTTCAAATATAACTAATACGTTATTCACAACTTGAACTAGAATTGCCATTCGCTTATTACTTTGAATTGAAATCCATCACAATTTATTGAGTTATTGAGCCTAATAATAGTATAAAGCTTAGTTTTCAACCCATATTCATTTTAACCTAGACATGTTGGGTATAGAATTAGAAATAGGAATTAGGAGCAACGTCAATTAATTGGAAATACTCACATCCTTGGGCTGCATGCCGTCCGAATTCATAAGCGACTTGCATTGTGGATAGGAGGTGAGCACCTTAACGACAGCAACGTGACCGTATTTGACGGAAAAATGCAGTGGCGTCTCGCCGCGTCCTTTGTCTGGCATGTTGAGATAATAATCGAGGAGATTCTCATTGAGGGCGGCGCACATCTCGCCTCGGCTCTTTTTACCCGCATACAGCTGGGTAAATTTGCGATCTGAGATTGTCTTCAATATGAGCTCGGCAACGCGCGCCTGATTGCATTGGGCGCAAATGTGCATGGCATTGTAGCGATATCCCTCTTTTAGGCTGGTGGGCGTGTCACCGCTGCTGATGAGAAACCGTGGATTGTCCCAAACAATGCGTCCGACACGCTCAAAATTTCCAGCCTCGATCTGTTTACGGAACTCGACCAGCTCCTGTTTGCTGGGTGCCCGAAACGGCGGACGTTCGGCATTAAGTGAAATGTTGCTGCTGCTGTTGCTGCAACTGGATGCGATATTAGCGCTGCCATCAGTGTTGTTGCCACTGCTATTTGACATCGCCAATATGATGTTTGCCGCGGTCAATGCTGATGAGCCAGGCGTCTCACCGATTGTCGGCGACGATGAAAATGGACTGCTGTCTGTGCTACCCGACGCCGGCGACTTATATCCACTTCCCCCCAACGATCGGGGTAATGAGACCGGCTCTGCGAATACGATGAAAATATGTTATTATTTCGTCTTTTATTTGATTGTTATGCTCTTGATTGGTGTACTTATTGTTGGGATCATGAGTCTGCCATCTGTCTACATGTATATTTATATATATATATATATATATAGACTTGTATGTACTTACTGCTAGCTGGTTTGGCCTTGCCGTAACGCTTGAGCGATTCGATGCTTTCGAAGCCAAACTGTACGTAGCTCTCGGCCTGATCTCGATTGGGAAACTCGCGCAATCGCGCCTCCTTATAATGTCGCAGCACCTCCAATGCCTTGGACTTTTCCGTGAATATCAACCAGAGCGGCGAGTCGGCTGCAAATGATGGAGTTTGTAAACGAGAGAGAGAGAGGGAGAGATAGAAGTTAGTGAACGTTTGCGAAACTTAAGATCAAACTAAACGGACAAAAAGTTATAGAAACTGGCAGCAGTTTTGTTGCTCGCTCGACTCGTTGTGGTCACGCCATCTGGGCGAATTGCAAATAGATTGCCAGACAGCGCAAGAAAAGTGTTAAGCAAAACAAACAATGTGCTAAAAGACGACAGATAGATAGAGAGAGAGAGCGGGAGAGAGAGAGGGAGAGAATAGATACGAGGTCGCGTGTGGACGCGGAACCAAAGAGAGAGAGAGCAAGAGAGAGAGCGACAAGAGCAACGGAAAGGGGCGACGGGGCGATGGATGCCGATGCCGATGCCTTCTTCACGGTATCAATATTGCCCCCGCAAACGTGCGTATGACGCAGTTATTGGCACTACGCTCTTAGAAAAAGAAAACAATAACAAAAATAATGTTGTCGCTATTATGTTGTTGTTGTTGCTGTTGTTGTTTTTTTTTATGTAGATCGGACGGATCGCAGTGGCCAATTGAGCAGCCCGCCTTTGCTAGCGTGGTCTCCGCTTGGGATATAAATATGGAAACATAGCCTACTATTTCTCTGCTCTGCCACACAGAGAGAGAGAGAGGGAGAGAGATAGATTGAGAGAGAGAGGGAGACAGAGCAAAAGCGCGCAGCTCGCACTTATTTTAAAAAAAATACTTGAACATAAATGAACAGTGTACATAGTAAAGTATAAAGTATATTTAGTCAAAAGTGTCGAGCCTGAAATTCATTAAATTACATTTATCAGAGCAATTTGATAAGAGCGCTAATTTAGCGCAGATGATAAACTAAGAGCACTTTATTGGGCTTGGTCGTTGTATTTAATATTCAGCAATATTCATAATTCAAACAATAACAACCGATAAACATATCTAAGACGATCGATTTTGTCCAAGCTTGGACAGTTTAAGCTCTGACATATAAATACTGTTGTATGTAATGTATTGCGTACTTATAATTGAGTAAAACAAAAGATTTTTGCCGGTGTCGCCGAATGAGTGCAATGACAGGTCAAGGTTCTGGTTATAGTTTTTTTTTTATTTGTTTTTTTTTTTTTGAAAGATCGCTGAACTCGCCGCGATGAAGTAAATACGCTTTGCTGTACTTTGCCTGATAGACCCAAACGTGGATCGAATTTACAGTTGTAATCGTACGTTACCCGTATCTGTTTACAATTTGCAATTTGTGCACTGATGACGCTCTTAATCCCACGCCCATTGCACATCAAGGCCGCACAAGCGGCTGAAGTTAGATGATGGATGATGGTGGATGGTGGATGATGCACAGGCAGGCAGCCGGCAACAAAAAATCAATTGTATACGACAACAAATTGGATTTTACTTGTTGTTTCTACATTCCGCTCGACAATTTTGCTTAGCTAACATTCGTTTTGATAGCCCTGTTTTCATGATTAACTGCAAAATGCTAGACACACTCAAACAAAAAACGACACATTATTTTTATTTATTTTTTGACTGACGAAAATTGTAGAATATTATATTGTAGTTAACGAACCCCTGGTCCCTGTGAAATCACCTAATAAATTGTGCACAATATTGTGAAATGTTCTTAACATTTATTTTGCTTTGCTTCTTGCAATTTAGACTTGAATTTGCGAGGCAAGAGTTGCAAGAATTAAAAGAATGAAACGAAAAGCGTAAATATATAAATTTGATTTGGAGGTAATTCTTAAAATGAATACTGTTTTTTTTTCATTTTAATTCACACTTGAATTTGCAAGGCATCGACCTACTTGGCGTCAAGCAGAATACCATCTGCAAGTGAGTATCAAAAACAGAAAAAGCGATGCGCAACAAATGAAATGAAAAGCGCGCTTTGATTGCGTTGCTGCACGAAATGTTAAGCTTGATGCGTGCATAAATACCTATGTGTGTGTGTGTGTGTGTTTGTGCCTGCGTGCGTGTATTTGCACATTTGTATCCATGCATTCTATGTTTTTACTTACACACATACATTTATATATATAAATATATATCTTAGTAGGTAAACAGTTATTTTTTAAACATGGCTGACGCCTGCTGAGCACGAGCAAAACTTACGTGGATATTCGGGATCCTCGAAATTGGATGCATTTGGGTCGCCCGCTCCGCTGGCGGCTGCAGACTCGGACAAAAGAGTCACATTTATAGCTGCAATGGAGCCCGCACACTGAGCCAATGTGCCCTCGAAGCCCGCTTTGGATGGCGGTATATAAACGGCGAAGTAAGCCATTTATGATATGTCGCTGCAGTTGATATTGTTAATATTTGCAGCGTATGGTATAAATGGTTTGCGTTTGTTTTTCATTCACTTCAAATGCAGATCTGTGCACAACAAATATTCTACGTATTCCGAACTACAAATGTGCGTCGTCCAACGCACGACATGCAAGCATTTACGACGCCTAATGCGGGGTCATCTAGCGATGGCAGCACTATCGATACTTAAATATCGCATGAAATCGGCACCACAATCGATATCACATAATTTTTCATTTATTATCGCTCCGATATTCCGATATTCAGCGCTTTATTTCAATGCGAATGCAAATTGGTCAAAAAGTGACGAATAACAATTGTCAGATACAAACTTTTGTTCTATTCTACATTTAGTTAGCAGCCAGATTTTAAGTCCAATGTATTCACAAAATAATGTTTGGGTCAGCAAGGCTTACATTCAATACCTAAGATAGCTAATTTCTGAGTTAACAATGGTAATTTAATCGTATCTATCAATATATATATATTTTAAGTGGGACCGTTTGTGTACCAGCAATCCCATTGGAGTGATGTCAGCACTGATGACCAGTCCATACCTATATAAATATATCGATGGTTGTACGATACTTCTTATGATGTTGCTCTGCAATCGCTAATCGATAGAAAATGAAACCAGTTGGGCGCTCAGCTTAAATATATTTTTGCATACATAGGTGCATTTTATTATGAATTTGATAAATCCCCAAATTACCTACTATGTTCGTTAGATGAGGCCATATGGCATTTATATGATAAAGTTTTTTTTTTTTTTTAATTTAGCATCTGTAATGATTATGCAACGTTAGGCATATTAGTTTAGAATTATGTCGTTACAATTTCAATGGGACAAATTGACAAACTCTGGTGGCAGTAAATAGTTAATATTGTGTGCGAAGTTGTAGTTGCATGTTTCATTTATTTTTAATACAATAATTTTATATAAAGTTGCACTATATGCTAAACTGGAAGGAATGATTGCGTTTAATTGTTGGACAGACACAAGTCTAAACTATATATAAACATTAAATATATTAATCACGAAGAACGAAACGAAAAGTTATTGAAAAAATACTCAACAAATATTTTAAATAAAATTACATAAATAGTTAAACATAAATATATAAAAGTAAATTAAGTTCTTACTCTATACGAGTATAAAGAAAGTGTCGAATTGAAATGTTAAACGGAGTATAAGGAAATCTACATACATACAGGTATATATGTATATATGTATGTATATATGTCCGGAGAAGTGACCCTCGATATGATCGGAGATCAGCAGACAGATCGTCAGACAGTATCAACAGTTAAAACTAGCAAATAACATTGCGATCTTAAAATATAGTACACATACTAAACATAATTTTGGTAGTTTGGCTTAAACTAATCGCTCGTCTGGTTGCATACTAGTCCATTTGAGCTGCACGAATGCCTATCAATTAGTAAATACATACAATTGTCCCCATCGAGGACCCCACTTAAATGCTACGCTGCGCACAGTCAGGCGCCTACTTAATGATTATGATGTGTTTTTGTTTTTGTTGTTGTGTGTGCTGTTTGCTGGGTTTCGCAATGTTGTTTGTTGGGACACGGAAAGATGGGCTAGGTAAATGGATTAAACCGATGGAATACTGGACACATGGACACAAAAATCAAATAATAAATAATGGGAGGGATGGGAGGGGCAAGTGGGAAGTGGGAAGTATAGGCGAGTAGGGAGAGATTCCCAGAACAGACGTCAGAAATTAAAGCTTTGTATGTTTGACCGTGTCCGTCCAATAGTTCTGTATTGTCATCGCCTCCAGTGAGTTGAGAAACGAATCGTTATCCAGGCTGTACATCTCATCCGAATTATCCTAAAAAACGCCGTCAAAAAAAAAGAAAAACACAAAAAATATTGTCAGTAAAAGGCGCAGAAAATTTGGATTGTGCCCGCAGGCAACTGGCCAACGAATCCTTACACTTACACGCATCGTGCTATCATCGATGTAAACGCTCGAGTCGGGCTCGCTGAGAGCCTGCGGCTTATTCACATAGCGCCGACGATAAAGGACGATGCCAATGGTGCCCACCGTACAGCAAATGCCAAAGACAGTGAAACATATGGCCGATATGGAGCCGGCATCCAAAAAATATGTGCGCTATAACATATACATAATACAATATAATATTGAATAACTTCAGATGTTGTCGTTGCCACTCACTTGAATGGCCAGCGCCTCGGATGAGATGTTGCCACCTTCATCAGCATCCGAAACGCTGGGCGCTGCGGATGCGGATCGGGTGAGCAAACTCTTGCTGTCGCTGGAGAAATTAATATAGCGATTGATGTGCTTGTATTCGGCGGACAGCACTTTCGATTTCCTGGAGCGATGCTCGCTTTCGGCGCGTCGCAGCTCATCCTCCTTGTTGGCGTTCTCCAACGTGAACGGGACACGCTGCAGCTCATCCGACAGCCATTCGGTGTTGATTTTGGGCGTCGATGGTGTGGCTGCCACAGCTTGACCTGCTGTGCTGTTGATCGGCGGGCTCGTTGTTGTTGTTGTTGTTATTGTTGATGTTGCTGTTGTTGCTGCTTTTGTTGTTATTGTATTTGTTGTTATTGTTTTTGTTGTATTCGTTGTGGATATTTTGGTTGTTGTTGGTGGTGGTATTGTTGTCGATGATGTTGACCCAGTTGTTGTGTTTGCTGCTGCAGATTTTGCTGCTGTAGTTGTGAGTTCCAAGCCACGGGCATTTACAGCAGCTGCCACACAGGTGGCATTGCAGGCGCTGCTGTTATTATTTGTACTGCAAAATTATATGATATGTATTAATGCGAGCAGTAAATGAACGCAATAAGATTATGCATTGCTCCAAACCATTATCTCTGTTAACGAAATCAGGTGTTTTTTGATTGTGTTTTGTGTTTTGTTTTTCTGTGACATCAGCAGAGACAATAATAATAAAAATAACATTCGATAATTCCGAAGTGAAATACTGATATGATTTGAAATGATATTTATTAGGCGCTAACTAAAGCCATCATCCAAGCTCCGATTCTATTTGACAAGTTTTATTAACATGTTTCAAAATAATATTGCCCAAAAAACGATTCTTTTGAGAACTGATTAATTTCGGAACCGTAACTCAAAAATTTCACTTTATTTTTCTATTATTTTCTTTAGACTTTTGAGTCGATATCTCTGCCATTTTAACAGTCTATTTTCATAAGTGGATGTATAAATTATATTGTTTACCTTGTGATACGACTAAAATTCGTATAGTTGTTGAGCTGATCCGACGATCCTTCAGCTGCAACACTTGCCGCAAAATCAGCGGAGCGCTTGAACTCGAACTGATTGTGCGACATTGTTAGCTTTACCGTTGCCCCATCAGCGTCACTTTGCTCATCAGCATCCGCATCCATATCGACGTCGTCTCCATTGCTGTCCTCCTCATCGACGGAATCGGAAAAGGGCGCTTCGACATCTTCGATGGCATCACTTGACTCCTCTTCCTGCTCCTCCTCCTGCTCCTGCTCCTGCTGCTGCTGCTCCTCCTCCTTTTGCTGTCCACCTGCGTCTGCATATGCGGGTGTTATTTTTGGCGCCGACGGCGTCGTCTTAATGGTTAGATCCATGATATTCCGCTGGGTGACCGTTGTCCATGTCTGACTGGACGTGGTCTGATATAGCTTCGTTGTCTGCCGACGGCCAGAACCATGTTCCGTTGCCTCCGTCCTATCCAATGCCCGATCCAGCTGCTGCTGTGTGCTCGATTCTAGACTCACGTCCTGACTGGGATATGTGTGCACATGAGGCAACAGTTGCACTGCAACACAAAAGGATTACATTAGCAATAGATCATAATGATGATGCACTGAACTGAGTATCGTGTGCCGCTTACCACACAGACAGGTTATCCAGAACCAATGCGACCACCAGTAGAAAGTCATAATGCGGCACGTGTTGTGATCTTGGGCCGACTATGCAGTGCTGCAACATATACAGAAAAAAAAGAAGGAAATGCCAAATTGTTAATGAGCTCATCTCCGTTGACGCTGCCAATCGTCGGCGACGATCGCATTCAAGTTTCCCATCCGTCGCATGATTCACGGCACGGTCACGTCAGACGTCCGGCAACAAAAACAAGTAAGATAAGAGTAAGAGTTTCCCCGTAGCAAGATACCCTGTAACCAGCCACAACATGTACACACAGTGCGCCCTCGCTTAACGTAACTCGCTTTCATAGCATTTTATTATATATTTAAATAGGAAATATATAAATAGGCAAAATATAATATAAATATAATATATAAATTGAATAAAATGTAAAATAGTAGCAAAGACATTTTTTTAAAGCTAGGCATTTGGTCTATGTCTATGTCTGCTGCTGCCTGTTACAGGGTATACAAACAACAAGCCGCCAGACAGAAGCGGAATACTTTATGGCGATGACTGCGATGAAATCATCAAGTCATTGAACAGTCGTGGAAGCGATTTACATTCGAGTCAAAACAAGTTTAATTTGGAGAGTGCGGCCTTTGATCAAGTCTGTGGCAGGAAAGAGCCAAAGTAAATACGGAGACGGAGCCTGGCCAGAGACAGAGCCAGGTCTAAGACAGAGCCAGGTCGGAGACAGAGACAAGCGTTTGCCAATTTGGGGGTTGACGACTTGCCAGCGTTGCCGCTGCTGCGGCAGATGACATATAACCAAATGGCTCCGTATACCTTATAAGGAGGCGTGCCACCCACACGAAATGTACGCCCACATTGAACTCTCGATATTCAAGTCAGAAATAGTCGTCTATTCCGCTCAATTGTTGTTGTTGTTGTTGTTGTCGTTACTACGAAAAATTAGCATGTCATTTTTGTGATGGCAACTTTCAGAATCTTCCCATATATATAAATACTCGTATATATATATATGTATTTTTCTATTGTTTTAATTTTTATTACTGCTGTTATAGCTTAGCTACTGTCTGCGTCTCTCAAATCACGAACAAAGTGCCTGAAATTACTATTATTATTTCTAAATTTCAAAAGATTTTCGCGTAGAATTCAGAGAAAAAGCTCTGGCTTTTAGATAAGCACAACATTCCGTTTTAGAATTATACTTTTCGAGTAATAAAATTCAAAATTTGCCGCACGAGTTGTTATCTATGTCGAAGTTGATTGAATTGGAGCCATTTGGGATTCATTCACCGCCAGCCGCAACCTTAATTTATCTTATCACAAATCTTAAAGCAAATTATGAAATATCCAATGTAAATACGTTAACAATGTAAATTTGTAAACTTGGCAAACATTCAACGAGCTGAAGGTCTTAGCTGCTCTTTGACTCCTTAATACAAGTTGGCTTACAGTTGTAAGCTATTAGTTTCCAGTATACACAACAATATTGAAGATTTTTTGAAATTTAAACTAATACTTGATCAACTAGGATATGCAATCTTTGGTGTGCCGCAGAAATTGGTTCTTTCTTGGTTAATTCTCGTTACGCTTTTCAGCTTTGGCCAAATGTTTGCTTGGTTGCACGCGTCTACCTCAAATTAGATACATACATACATACATACATACATATATATAATATACAAATATATACCCTGTAAGCGAGAGATTATAAGATGACTTGGGCAGCCAAGCGAATAACGCTGGCTTGAGAAAATGTTTCTATTGAACTACACTGTTTTACTGTTACTTCAATAGCCACTTATTAAATAATAAATTATACTCTTATTGGCAGTAAACAGTAAACAGTAAACAGAATCTAGTTGAAGCTTAACCCTCCTCCATAAAAGTTTGGTATTTTCACTCGCGAGTGTGCAAATTACAAATTATACAGGGTATCAAAATGTGTATATAATGTAGCCTGTACTGGGCATCCCACAGCCGAGCTGGCCCAATTCGAGCGCTCTAATTTGATAGTTTGTGTGCTTGGGCTAAAAACTGTGTTTGGTACTACACCCATTTATTTGGGTTAATGTCTACACAGACCAGGCCCACTCAAAATTGCTCTAAATTGGTGGCTGATAAGATTGTATGAACAGAATGCGATACACACACAAATATATACACATTATTTAATAAGTATGTATGTGTGTGTGTGTGTGTGTGTGTGTGCTTGTATCGATTTGTCAGTTTGACCCACATTGACCTCATTGCAAATGGGGACAGAGTTGGGGTGCCTTTGACGTCACACAGGGCTCGGGTCAGTGTCCGTGTCCGTGTCTGTGTCCAGGTCATGTGTGTCAGGGGATGATGGTACCCTGGTATGTACCCTTTGTGAGGGAGGCGCGCGCCACATTAAACATGGAACATTACCAGCGACACTTTATGCATACCACGAGGCGTTAAAGGTCAGGCTGCTGTCATCAACATCAACAAATTGAAACACAGCCGTAAAGAATGAACAATAAAAAAACAAAAAAAAAAAAAACAATTGTTGCTTAAATTTTGAAGTACGCATGTATGTGTGTGTGTGTGTGTGTATGTGTGTGTGTATGTATGTGTGTAGATATATGCAAAGCACATGCAAAACAAACGAACGGCGAACAAACAAAGCATAACAAAACAAACCATAACAAAGCAAAACAAACAGAGGAGCGCGCACCGTAACGAATGACACCAAACGAGTGGAGACAAGAAATGCGCAAAGAGCAGCTGAGCTGAATCACAGACGATGGGAGGGGGGGCGGTCAACGGATAGGTGCTAAAGCAGCTAGCGAGAAGTGCAAAACCGGAACGCGCATGAGCAGCGACGGAACCCAGAAGAAGAAGAAGTCCCAGCAGCAGCAGCAGAAGCAAGGCCTTATGTAAATTTGCATGTGTTTCTTTGTTAATCATGATCATCATCATCATAGTTATTATTTTCGCCACATTGTAAGGAATGCGCCATATATATATATATATTTAAAAACATTCTTATTATAAAGTAGTCCCAAAATTTCTAGATTACGACTCTTTCCGGTTAATTTCAATATTGAAGCTATGAATCATGGCAACGAATCTGCCAAGCAAAAAATGTTAAGTTTCTTAAAAAATATATATATGTAAGAATGCTCTATATATGTATATATATATTATATATATAATATAATACAAATTCAAATGTAATCAATCCATCAAAGAGTATCTTTTAATAAGTAGGGACACAATCAAGATACTATTTACCATATTCAAGAACTTTTTTATTTCATCGATTGTGGTACAAATTTGTTGTATAAATCAATAAAATAAATTAAATTAGCAAAACATATATTTGAGTTCGTACGAAAATCGAGAGAAATCCATATAATAGTCAAAACTACTTCATTCCAAAAAGAGACTGCCATAAAAAAATAAATAAAACAAGATATATTTGAGCTAAAAATGGGTTTCAATAACTCGTAATACAATTACAATTATATGTGTGCTTGCAAGGCTATTTATAATAAAGCAGCTCATAAATATTTATGTGCTGTTTGCCAAGTAAATATAAATAAGATTAAGAAAAACGTAACTAAAAACAAGTCGTACTGCACTTCGTGCGAAATAATTGCCTTTTGTGGTTGTGTGAGTGCCCTTATGCAAAGCTGGCTAATTGCCAAGACTAGTTTATGCGGCGAGGCTTATTATTGGGCCTAATGACATGTTGACGCTTTAAATGAACTCAAGGCTAAGCACGGGTCACCGTCCAGTCGAAGCCATTACAAAATCGCATTGCAAAAATTGCAAAAAGAAAAAAAAAAAAAATACAAAAAGCAAAAGCGAAAGAACTCAAACAGATGCACTTTCAAATGCGAAAGTAAAAAACATACAACAATGTTCAAAAAGTAGCACAAGTGCAGATCAAGGCGTGTGTGTGTGTGTGTGTGTGTGTGTGTGAGTGTCTGAGACTGTAAGTGCAATTAAGGAAAAGGCGAAGAAAAAAACAAGTGCAACCTTCAAGAAACAACAATGCAAATTGAAAAAGCGGCAGGCCAAATGGCAACAATTAAATACAGGGCGGAATACTTATTATGCAAATGCCAAAGAAAAGACACCGCAGCGATGGGCGTGGCACGCAAATGCAAGTCTAGAAACACACACAGGCACACACACAAATGCATATACATGTGTGTGTGTGTGTGTGTGTGTGTGTGGCAGGCAATGTCATATCGGGCAGCAACAAATAATGGGAAAGTTCACGCTCACTTTCTAATGTCAGCAGCGCGGCACGCGATGTCACTGGCAGACAGATTTGTGGCACATGTGTTGCAGGCTTGGGGGGCGTGCAACGCACGGAGGAGTAGATGATTAGCAGCGGCCTGCTGAAATACTTAACTGAGAGTGCATGCTGGCATCGGTACAGCATTCCAAGCCCAGTATTCGACACACAAAGAAGGTAAGATAAGGTGCAGGTGCAGGTCTTAAGTAGACCTACAGATAAAGTGCAATTAGTTGATCTGACGGGTGAACGGACATGCTGTCGATGATGATCGAGACCGTAATAAAATACAAAAATATATTGTCAGAAAACTTCTTGACAGTTCGAAGAATAATCAATTTTGCTTTCAAGTTGGTAGGAGCTCCAAACAATTCTATAAAAATATGAAAAATATAAAATATTTTATATACAAAAAGATGAATTCCTTCCTTTGTCAAAAAGACATGTATATTTAAAATAAGCAAAACAAAAAATAACAAAATAGTTTTTAGTTTTAGAACGTTTGAAATTGCCTGGGATTGAAGCAGGCTGCGACAAGACTTCAGTCAGAAGAAAGGCAGCAAATACAATACATTGTAGCAACAGCAGACTCAGCTGAACACGTCCAACTAACAATTCTACAACAAATTATAAAGCATACTCGTACATATTTATTTATTGGTTTTATTGGCATTTCTACTGCCCGCATGAAGGTAAATTCTTTCAATGGAAAATAATTGTATTGAGCCCAAGCGAGAGGGCTCTTCATGCAACAGAGAAGGAGGCGACATGGAAGTGCCCGTTGGTGGTGGTAAGGAATCAACGGAGAGGAGCACTCGGCTATCGCGACAGCACATCGTAAGGCTTTCGATTGCCGAACAGGTTGCCATCTATCGCACCAATGAGGCAATGCGTCCGCTCTGCGATAGCGTTTGGCGCCGCAGCCATAAGCGCCTGGATTTTCGCCAGCTGGAGCGGGAGTTGAGTGGCGAACCGTTGAGCTTCTTTGTCAATCACATGATGGATAATTATCGCAGCGCCTATTTCATAGCGGATCGCCTCCAGGAGAATCTCAATGTGCTGGAGCGTGCCGGTGTCAGGGCGCTCATCAATGTACATCACTGTAAGCTGCTGCTGTCGTCGTCGGAGTCGCAACGCCAGAATGACGATGGCGATGCTCAACAAGTACGTGTTGCCGCTGTTCTGGGCGGCGCCCTGATGCCCCAGTGGCCGTTGCATGCCTTGCCCAAGATCCTGTGCAATTTGCGACGCCTTAAGGTGCACTGTGACGTCCAAGTGCATTTTATCCAGCAGTTCCCACAGTTGGAACAGTTGATGCTCTGTGGCAATGTGTCACAATCGGCACTGACCGGTATCCTTGAGCGTTGCAAGCAGCTGGATCACCTATTTATCAAGTGTCCCGAGCCAACGTTCAGTCTGCACGGCATCATCAACCTGAGCAAACTGCAGGATCTATCGATTCCCATGAGCATGTTTTTGGATATACACGAAAAGGTTTTATCCCTGCCGGAATTGCATTATCTGGAACTAACCAAAGGCGGTCAAAATTCGGAGGAGCTGACCATCGAGTGTTTGGGCCATATGCTGCAGATCAGGCCGAATGACATTGAGATTGTGCGGCTGAACTGCAGCCGCTTCAAGGGATCAGACTGGATGCGTGAACTGGATCTGCAACGCTGCGGAAGACTGCAAGGACTTGTGCTGAACAATTGTCGCTTCCATGAGCGCAAGATCTGTAATATGAATATGCCGTATGTGGCCAATTATCTGGTATTGAGTGGCTGCCCCGATCTCAGCGACTCTCAACTGGTGGACATGATCAAGAAGTGTTCACACCTATCCGAGCTCTATCTAATCGATTGTCCGCTGCTCAATGGCCAAGTGCTCTACGAAATTTATCGCATTCGACACAATCTGAAGCTCGATTATCCTCTCAGCATCATTCTGGACCAGTGCGAGCTAATCAAAACGGAGTATCAGAAGGCGGTGGGTATCTTACATTATATATATGTCGAGCTATATGTATATATTTATTCCTGATTTTAGTACGCGGCTTACTGGGTCTTCAGACAGTCAGTCATCAAGTTGGACTGTTTGCTTGAGGAAAATACAACATTTCAAAACTTGCAGACATTTTTCTTTAAGAAATAAAACGCTCCCATTGCATGAACACATCATCATCATCATCATCATCATCATCATCATCATCAACAATCGGCAAATGAAAATACAAGAAAGAAAAAGGAAGAAGAAGGCTCCAGTGAAGTGTTCTCGGAACAAGACTCATCTGCCAATGGTTTTCACCGTCTCAATTATATTACTATTAACAGTTTCGGATAGTTTGCAAGCAGTTGTTTAAGGTGTATTGTACTGATTTCATGACACCAGTAAAGCAACGTATATCATATACATGACACATGCACTGTAGATTATATTGTCAATTAGCAACTGCCCAAAGCCAACGAGTCCCACATCAATGCCAAGTAATTGTTTTAACAGTATTTGCTGTTTTTTTTTTTGGGTTTTTCTTTTGTTTGTGTTGCTTTTGTTTTGTTTACTTTGTTTTCGCTTTGCATCTCTTTTTTTTTTCTTTTTGTTTTTGCAACCAAGATGTACAATAACAATTAACTCATTTTCTTTTTTTTTTTTTGCGTACAACTGGCTTTTCGCATTTCCCAGGCAGATTTCTACAATTGCGGGCCGAGTGTAGCTGTGCAGGTGCGGGTGAGGGTGCGGGTGAGGGTGTTTTAACATTTCACTTAGCTAACAACCAACTTGATTTTACTGCATGCAAATCGAAAGTCTTGGCTGCCTGAGAATAAAGCGAAACTTATGTCGCCAGATTTCACTTGAGCCGGCGAAGATGACACAGAGATTTCAACAGAGGCGTTGGCCAGGGCTGGCAACGGGTTGCTGGAGCAGGGATCGAAGTCTTTATCATCTTTATCATCGCATCGATATCAAAAAAGCTATAAAGTCTAAAGTGAGCGACTTGGAAGTTTTCTCAAAAAATTATACTTAAAAATACAATTTAGAATGCGTTGAAAAAGGCTTCACTGATTTAAGGAAGTTCAAGTTTGTCATCCTGAACAACAACATTTTTTCTGTAGCTCAAAATGTTTCCTTTCTTTTATACCCCTTCCAATGATTTTTAGTGTTTTTAGGTGTAAACAAATTAGTTGGCAATGACACCACTTTGCTTTTGTATGAGTGTCTGTTTGAGTGTCTTGCCAGTTGTCAGTTGTCAGTTGCCAGTTGCCAGTTGCTGGCCAGCATTTGAGGCTAAATAGTCATCATTGCGCTTTGTGTTCGCAGTATTTTGTAATATTGGAAAACGAAACTCTTGAGCCAAACAACAAATGACACAAACAATTGGTTTGCCAAGCAACACTTTCTACACTTTTCACGTTGCTTGAACAAATGCAAAAGTGAAATTGGGCCTGAAAAGCGTTTTGCAATTGAGGAGTCTAAATAGGGTTCCAATGCAAGGAATTTATTACCAATTCTTCTTAGTGTTAGTTCTGAAATACAGTGAAATAATGAATACATCTTACAAAATATTAACACAGACTCAAAGCCTTGTTATAATCAGTCTCCATTAGAGTTGCTCGTTTTAGATCTGATTTCTCATTGGATCTTCTAGTCGAGTTTTTCCTTTGGCTTCTGTTTAATTTCCTTTGCCATTGCCATTATTATTCTGGTGATTGTTGACCATCGATACCATCGATTGCTGGCTTTCGGCAACGACTCTCGCTTCGGCTCGGCTGGCAAGGAGTCATTACGGTCCCCAAGGAGTCATTGGATTTTCATTGCAGAATTTTCGTCGATTTTATCGAATTAGATTCCTCTAATTTTTACTGTGTAGCATTACGTTGTTTTTCTTTCAGTTCAGTCTTTTCAAAGTGATTGTTTATTGTCTCGTTGAAATGCATTCTTATTGGCCAACAGTTAAGCGTTAGCAATTAGAATAATGGCAGAATGCTTGCCGATTTCCCTATAAATATATATAGGTATATATGTATGTACATATATGCAATTTTACAGTTGCTCAGATGTTTGGTTCGATTCCAAAAATTGTGAGAATCTGCATTTGAGCACATTTGTGCAATTGCAGCCGGTTGCTTTTGCTGTTGCCAACAATGGCAAAGGTTGGCTTACATAGGCGTCGACTCATTTCGCAACTGAACCTACAAGTACACACATACACATACACATACATACACATACACATACACACACATACACATACATGCATACATACATACGTCTTTTCCTACTCTGATTGTTATTGTGATGGTTTTGATTGTGGGGCTGGCCATTGTTTTGCGTGTTCGGCCTTGCAACTTGCGGATATGCCACACCCCCCTCGTTCGCCTTGCCAACGAACTTTGACATGTGTACTTAATAATATTTGGGTATACTTATATATGTATATTTATAAATACTCACAGATTCGCTCCTGCCAACGACCGGAACAGGATTTTTGGATACGCTCAAGCTTCGGGCTGGGTTTTTCAACTGCAAGGACAAAATACAGAAAAAGAAAAGAAAAGAAATAAGATCTTTGCTCTGATTGCCACTTGGACACACTCGGCTGACTTAAAATTGGGAGTGGGACTGGCGTCTAGGCCATTATGTATAATTCTGCTCCCCCCCCCCAAACTCCAATTTAAATAATTAAGTGTATTTGAGTTCGTTTTGGGCAATTCTGAACTAGTGCGTGGCGCACTTGGGGTGCTTATGCTGATCATTGCCAGTGCTTATCGTTTTAGATCAAGTGCAGGTCTAATAAAGAGCCCATCAACTTGTGCAATTAAAAGAGCGCTCAATGCTCAATGCACTGCTCGACTTGAACAATTAAAGCGACTCTCACATGAATAGACGAACATACACAGACATACATAAGTACATATATATACATATATTATATATAATTTATAAAGTTAGTGGTTATGTATACGCAACGTAAGCCTCTCAATTTTATATACCCCACATAATATTCGTATATAATATCTCGACGTTGTACAACGACACCAAATACAGACCATACAAAATGCGACCCAGATCGCGAACAATTAGTCAAATGACATAAGACTAAAGTTTGAATGGAACAGAAAAAGTGGCACTTATGGGCTTATTAAGGGATGTTTAGATAATCATAACATATAGCATAAGATCTGAAATGGGCTTATATAAAGTATACTTTGTATTACAAGCTTAAAGCGTACTAACTAACTAACTAACTCGGAAAATATTAGTTGGTGTAAGAAGATTACAGGAACATTTCTTATTAATAGTCTACTGCGGAGAGTGGGTAAGCCAATATTACGCATCCAACTAAGACGCGGTAAATCAAATATCAAATCAAAGATCAAATTTAATTCTGTTGAACCTTGTATTTGATAGACCATATACTAGATCCATATTCAAGAAAAGGACGCACAAGTGAAATGTAAAGAGTTTCAGTAAAGTAGGGTTCGTCAAATGCTTTCGACCAGCGCCTAAAGTAACCCAGGACACCAAAGACTCGATTAGTGACAGAAGAAATATGCTTCTCAAAATTAAGTTCGGGCAATGTATTTTCAGTGCATCCAAAAATGGCCAACTGCCATTTGTCATTTGTCATTTGTCATTTGGCGGCAGTTAAAGCGAGGCGTAACTTATGCATTTTTGTGCAAGCGAAATGTGATCATTTAACTGGTTGGCTGGTTATGGTCAGAGCTGATTTGCATGACAAGCCAAGGCAGTTGAGTGCTTTAAGCTGATACTGGTTGTTATGTTTATACTAAAATGAAGTCACAATTAGGCGAGTGCATCTGTGGAGAGTCGAAATGTAAAACGCAATTCAGAAATGGGTTGGGCGAGAACTTGATGGCCGCGCCCCGTAAAACTGACTCAAAAAAAAAAAATATATATATATATAAATATGTGTGTTTATTTATGTATACACATCTTATACACATATATGGCAAAAGGCTGACGACTCTTTTTTTATTTTTGGGCAGCTCAAAGTGTTGAGAAAGTCAAATATTCACAACGACAAGCAACATCAGCTCAGGCTGACCATTTTTGGGCCTGCTTCTGACTAAACAGAGCCGCAACATGCAAATCTAACTGGCGAAGCTACACCGAAAGAAAAAGTATTGCGCAAAGTGAGGTGTCATCGTTGAGATTTTCAATATGGTCATTTAAATTCAACTCATACAAATAATAATAATATTCTGATATTAATTGATGATTCCCATGAATCCAACACACATATTTATATACCATCAATGAATAAATAACATCATAATTAAATTAAAGTTTGCAGAAAAATAAACTAAGTGGATCGTTTTTAGCTACACATCAAACCCACTTAATGCTAATACTTAGAAAATTTTAATTTAATATTAAATGTTTAACCTCCACAAATATTAAACCTCCATTTTCAAATACTGAGCTTAAAAATGTTTATTTAATTCTTTTTTTTTGTTTTGTGTACTAGATAAACGCACACATTCATACACGTGTGTGTGTGTGTGTGCATGTGTGTGGTGCGTGCTTAGAATTTAAAGGTGGGCTACACCCGCACCGTCAGCGTCGCCATTCAATGGGGTCACCTAAATGGCGCCCGTAGATTATACCGACTAGCTGACACACTTTCCCAGCAGCTGGCCAACCAATTTATCTGTCTAGGAAGTAACTCACTTAGGAACTACATCATGTACATGTGTATGTATGTATGTATGTATTGAGAATTATATATTTGAAGCACGTTCAATGGCCAGTGCCACACCACTTGTGGCAGAGCCTCTCACTCTCGCCCAGACGCCCAACATCGGCGGTCAGACAACAGTCAAGTTGACTGCGGCGACTGGCAAATGGAGTCATTAGGCTCCTCAAATGTCATTACCACTTAATTGTTTTGCATCGTTTGCGTTCATTCAACTTCAACATCAACTTCAACTTCAACTCCAACATCCACTTTAGTTTCAGTTGGCTGTTTACATTGTGCTAATGAAGTTTGTGCATCCGAATTGGCTAAATCCGATCAGGCGAATTTCATTGCTCACCGAACACTGAACAATCCCAGCACGAGTCGTGAAACGCAAAATGTGAAACTGAAAATGGTCAAGTAAGCAGTTGCAAATGATGATGACGACTTTGTCGACTTCCACATTTTGCTAATCACATTGGCCAAATAATTTTAATAACAGTAATTAAGCGCTTGAGCCTCTGGCATAGACGTAGCTATCCACTTTACAGATATAGCCAGAAAATTATGCAATTTGCTGATTACCACATTTTGAAAAACACACCCCACCGAGCCCGCCTCCCAAAAGTAAGCTAGCAAGAATATTGCAGTCGAGTCAGGTCGACTATAAAATACCCAAACCTCAAAGGTTATATACATATATATATAATATATAACGAGTTCCAATACTCAAGCACAACAATATTTATGAGTAATATTAGGGTCTGTTCGAGCTGTAGGCCCTTATGTTGGTAGGCATATACACGGTTTCTGGCCATAATGATTACATGACCTGGCACTCAGATTGCGCATACATCACGTAGAGCGTCAGAACAAAGCCGGTCAGCAGCAAGCAATAAGCCCGAGTAAGCAGCCAGCTCAATATGAGATTGAAGGTTGGCTAGCAGTTGCCATGGCTGCCGGTGATACACGATACTGAGACTGCAGCTTGAGTTGAAGCCACACTCAGAAAAACGGCCCAAGTATCTAGACTGGAGATACTCGATTGTATCTTGACTTAAAATTGTGGTTTATACTACGATCGGTAATCGATTTGTATCGATATTGTGGAAAATTAAGAAGTTATCGATTAAATGATGCGTTTGGCATACGAGAACTTACATACAGACGGATATGGCTAGATTGTTTTGCATATATTCAAAGGGTTCTATAAATAAAATTATAAATAATTTAACTTGTATTATTGAGTGAAATATTATTGTGTGTATTAATTTATCAATGTAAATATTTATATATAATTAACTATTTTTTTTTACGAAATAATTTTTAAATTTACGAAAGTAATAGTTTTAAGAAGAAATGCTTAAGGGCAATCGATCAAAAATGCTTTAAATTTTTAAGAAATATTTATTAGAAAAGTTGCAATTGCTGAAGAAGTTGTAAGAAAGAAATTTGTAGAAATCCCCAAATTAAATGAACTTGAAATTTAGCTTATAAGTGACAAAATTTCATTTTTTTTTCCAAGTGTAATGGCAAAAGTACATCGACGAACATCGCATGGCCCGAACATATTGTATATATTTTTCTGAGTGTGGTAGCTGCTTTAGTCAGCTGAGGGCAGACACTGGCGCCAGCACAACAAATCATGAGAATCAACTCGATTATCAAGGTGCTGTCATAGACACAAAGTGCACTTGAGTGCAACAGCAGCAGAGGCAGCAGACACTTTCATTGGCGAATACTTTGTGAGAGACGAGACCATTGACTTGTTGTATGGGAATATGTTATTGATTTGCACGCAAGCCAAATGCCAATTTAAATGAAGCTGTTGGCCAGCAACTGGTCACGTTATGCAAACGCCAAATACACACAAAGAGTGTCGGCCAAAGCCAAATTGGCTACGCTGTCCATTCATCGAGCAGCGGTCCAAATATGCATCGCACAATCAGAGAAACCCCTTTTGAATCATGTGTGTATGTGTTGCTCTTGTTGTTGTTGTTGTTTTTTTCAGCTTGAACCCTTAAGCGAGTTTTTTTTTTCGACCCCTTTCCCCTGTGCAGAGCTTTGCACACTTTTACTTTCGGCATTTGTTAATTGCACTACTTAAACAGCGGGCGGGCCTGGGCTACTTTCCAAAAAGCGTTTTCTCGTCTTTGTAAAATTGGTAACAAAAGAAAATTATTTTGAACATGCTGGCAATCTGATTGTCAGAGTGACATAATGAGCGACAGCAAATGTTGCAGCTTCGCATTTTATAGTTATAGATATATAGATATATTGATATATAAAGCAGCATAATTTATTATGTTTCATTACAATTAATAATTAAATAATTTGCGGACTCGTTCATTAAGCCATACACTGACTGATCCATTTGCCAGTGGCATGCGTGCAACCAACGATTGTTGGTTGGCATCACATGTAATATGACTACAGGTACTTATGATCACAATGTGATCACTAACTAAATACAAACATTAATGGTAGTTCCTGGTTTTTGCTTTGCATCACCCATCTTCGTGTGCGGATATTAACACTCTGAGGCCACTTTCAACACGTTGGGGAAGTGCAACATTGTTGCATACGTGAGATGAGCATCAGACGATGATTAAATATCTACTTATAAAGCGTTCATAATCATTGGGTGCATAATTGTATATGCTTCAGCTTTAATGCAACCCCAATAAGAATATAAATATGTATAAGGAGAAATGCGCCCAAATCATTCCCAATCAGCTGCGAGCACGCCACATAAATATAACTTAATTAACTGAATGAAATGTAATCGTTTTTTTTGAGATAGACTTGCAACATATCTTTA